AAATTTCACACACCCCTTTTAATTCCATTCACACATCCAACCATATCAAATGAAACAGTGCAAAACTAGGGTTATCTTTCAGGTACAGAGGTACATATGTAACACTGCTATAAAATGGTTGAAATTGCAATTCAACAGACAACAAATAATCACATCTCTTGATTGAAAAATAAACAATAAATTTGAGTTAAATCTAAACTCAGTAGAAAAAAAGAAAGATTTAACAGGAAATAGAAGTGGGTTGGGAAATGAAATTGATTTTTTCACTTAAAAATATGTAATCTGAGTGTGGTGTCCCAAAATAAAAGAAACATGAAACAAAAGCTACATTCAATCTTCTGATTCACTCTTAGTCTTCTTCTTCTTTTTCTTTTTCTTGGGTTTCTCCTCGTCATCGCCATTCATACTGTGATCACCATTTGTGTGACCATTTTCCTCCTCGGGGGCTGACTCAGACAGTTTACGTTTCTTGTCTTTCTTCTTCTTCTTTTTCTCTGAAGTAGCTTGCTGTAGAGGGAATTAGAAGTATCAGAAAATGCCAAATCCTGTGCTGGATAGAGCCTAATAGTGCTAACATCAAAAAACAGTACTCACCTCAGCCTGAGCTTGCTCTTGCTGTGCCTCCTCAAGGGCCTCCTTCATAACATCAATGTTCTTCTTAGGAATATCGCCAGTTTCATAAAACTTGAGACGATCCTCAACTTGCTGTTTCAGCTTGTCACCAAATATGTGGGTGGGATTTTCAGAGAAACAATCAATTCTTGAAGCAATTGAACACTTGTTAGCCAAGTATCGAGATATTCTACCTTTGTTCTTTGCACCTGCTCTACCAATGAATGTAGAGTGGAACAAAAGGCCATATTTAGGTGTGTTACCTTTTGTTTTCAAAGCTCTGCAAGTTAAAACTTGGTTTAAAAAGAGTAATGAAAAAAATAGTACAACAGCAGTCTCATCATTAATGAGGATCAGGTGTTCAGACCTCATGAGACATCATGAAATCAGATTGGAATTACTTCTCATTTCCTCTGAGGTAAAATATCTTAACATAAAATTGGACTTACCTAAATAGAGCCTTCTCAGCACCAAGGATTTGAACAGTTGACGCTGGATATTTAGCAAGATTTGTGAGGGAGCCTGCATGAGCAATCAACCTAGCACCAACCTGATCTCCGATGAGAGATGCAAGGTTTGGTGCTACACCTTCCATTTTGGATCTTAAGTAACCAGCCAGTTGTTTCCTGTAGTCAGCTAATGCTACAACTCTTCCAGCAAACATTTCAATGTTCAGCAGATCCACAGGAGATATGTCCATACCTGGTTGAAAAAAAATGATTAAAAAGCGATGTCAAAATAAAATTTTAGATGGATTCAACAGCTCTACATTAAATTAGGATCAGGTGTTCAGACCTCATAGGTACATCATATATCAGATCTTATATTTTCCTCATCATTTCCTTAGGTAAAATAAATTAAAGAATAGTGTACAGAAATAACTCACCCATTGAAGATCTTGATGCATCAAGGATAGCCTGAGCTTTAGAGCTATCCATAACAATTTCTTCTAGACCCTCAAGACTTTCTTCTGACAAGTTCTTACGATTCTGAATGAATTTGGCAACCTTTGCATACAAGTAATTCTCAGGGACAATTTTGACAAGCTCTGGGAAGTGGTAGGAATACCATTCGCTAAAATGTAGAAAAGAGTAATTAATAAACCAAGAAAGGCCATATGTTGTTTTTTTTCAAGAAGTTAAAGGGTCTTTACCGTATCCGCATAGAAAATGTGTTGACATCCTTATCAAGTTGGTCTAATAAGGCAATACTCTGGATGATCATGTTGTCAACTCTGTGGACATTGAACTTGACTTTTGATCTGGAATAACTGTGACCCAAACCTAACTGGGCAACACCTGACGATTTAGCAGTAAATCCTTTGATCAAGTTGTGAAAATGAAACCGAATACCTGAAATAAGAATGAATGTTAGTTGCTAATACCTCAGTCATACATCAACCTGTGATGAAATGTAATGGGAGACATCGCTGCTTGTCCAGAAAATAGGGGCGTACATACCTCTGATGATTTCAGGAACTGCACCAAGATGAGTGCAATTGATGCCTAGAGCTTCATTAATGCTGGCTCCAAGCTTCGGCTCACTAACACCAAGGACTACCTTCTTGGGTTTTGGAATATTGGACTGCAAAAAGAGTTGCAGATCCTCATGCATGATACCTGAAAGGATAATTTAAAAAAGAATTAGACAGGTTGAAATACATAAAAATATAGCAATTGGGTAAAATTGCTTGACAAAAGTAACAAAGAACAGCTAGTTCTTGCTTTAAAAAGCCAGAGAAGGATAATGAAATATCCTAGGGTGAATTAATTAATTTTTAACTAAGACATGAGGATCAGGTGTTCAGACCTCAAAAGGTGCATCATTAATTCAGCCGTAAGTTGGCTCATCATATCCTCAAACATTAAAACGCAATGAAGGTACAAAATTATGACAAATTAATTCTGTTTAACATTGCTTGACCGAAAATCACATAATTCTGACACCGGCTCAAAAAATGTCAAATTTCTCTTGCAAGCTTCAGGATGGCCTATAAGATGACAAATGCTCATAGAACAGCTAGTTCTTGCTTTAAAAAGCCAGTGAAGGATAATGGAATATATTAGGGTGAAGTGATTGATTTTTAATCAAGACATAAGGATCAGGTGTTCAGACCTCAAAAGGTGCATCATTAATTCAGCCGTAAGTTGGCTCATCATATCCTCAAACGTTAAAACGCAATGAAGGTACAAAACTATGACAAATTCATGATGTTTAACATTGCTTGACCGAAAATCACATGAAACTGAAACCGGCTCAAAAAATGTCAAATTTCTCTTGCAAGCTTCAGGATGGCCAAAGGGAAAATGCCCTGAGATCAGCTAGGTCTTGCTTTAAAAAGCCAGGGAAGGATAATGAAATATCCTAGGGTGAATTAATTAATTTTTAACTAAGACATGAGGATCAGGTGTTCAGACCTCAAAAGGTGCATCATTAATTCAGCCGTAAGTTGGCTCATCATGTCCTCAAACGTTAAAACGCAATGAAGGTACAAAACTATGACAAATTCATGATGTTCAACATTGCTTGACCAGAAATCACATAAAACTGAAACCGGCTCAAAAAATGTCAAATTTCTCTTGCAAGCTTCAGGATGGCCAAAGGGAAAATGCCCTGAGATCAGCTAGGTCTTGCTTAAGCTAGGAAAAGTTGATAAAATGTCATCGGATGGAGTAAAGAAAGTATCTCTTAAGCTATAAGGATCAGGTGTTCAGACCTCAAAAAGTGCATCATAAACTCAGCCAAGAGTTGGCTCATCATGTCCTCAAAGTAAATGAAAGTACGCAACTACAAGAATTTCACTTTGTTCAACATTGCTTGACCAGAAATCACATTATACTGAAACTGGCTCAAAAAATGTCAAATTTCTCTTGCAAGCTTCAGGATGGCCAAAGGGAAAATGCCCTAAGATCAGCTAGGTCTTGCATCCCTACATTAGATTGAGACAAAACTGTATACATACCTTCAGATATTCCGTTGACATTTTCCAATGCAGCCAAGGCATTCTTGAATGCAGAGAAGCTAACAAGTTTCACAATACCATTGAACCTGCTCAAATCTGTGACCGATGCTTCCACTTGAGGTAGGAGCATCCCCACCTCCTCGAACTCCTTGACAGAGAACAAGGCATATCCCGCAGCATGCTCATAGAGCACATACATGGGTTGCTGTAATAAAAGACACAAATATTTAAAATCTCATGCATATATTGGGAACAAAACTTGTAATCTACAAGAGAATGTATAAAACTTTTGATTACAGCTAATAAGTACGTCATTTCCACAAGTGTAGATGGTTACTACAAGATATATGGTCAATAAAAAAACAAGGCCAAGTTCCCGTGTTAACTAGTTAATGGCCAACGGGAAGCATGGCTTCGGAAGGTTATGGGATGGGTCATATTATACAAGAAAATAATGTAACAGAAATATCATGATAAGCAATAGCCGTTTGAGAAGTGTTTGTAAAATGCAGAATAAAAAGGAGAAAATGAAATAATATCAGGTTTAAGATAATTTAAGGATAGATTGTATAATGCTGCAGTAGGCGACCCACGTGAGGTCGAACCAACACGAGTTTGTACGCTGATCTTAGTTTTAGGACGAAAACATCACCAAAGTACTTCACAAAAACCAATCTGCAAGAGAGCCCTCTCAGATGGGAAAGAAAACTCACCATTTTGAATAATCCCGTTAAAACATTCTCCAATAAACTATCAGTTTTGTTTGAGCGGCGTGGTCGTGGTCCCCACACTCATCAGCGCCCAGCAAACATCAACACCACCACCACACCATGTCGGGAGACGGAAGTACAATGCGCAGAATCACGGCCCGGCTCCGGACGTTAACGAACATTTCTTATCCGCGCAGAAGCCAACCTTACAGCTTCTACGTCACTTTCAGTCGAACGTTTAAATGATTTTCATTTACTCCGAGCATACAAAACTATTATTAATTTAGTTTTTCAAACAATAGAAGCGAAGATCTAAATCTAAAATTAGAGTAAAGCAAGATATCAGATATAGTTTTTTTGTTCAAAGTTGGTACCACTGTAACTGCGCATCTATTTCAAAAATCGATACGGCGGGCGGCGGGGGTTGTGTTAGCCTGTTAGCCGCATTGTATTTTGTTTACATATTTATTTTGTTTTTGTCCCGTCATCCTTATGCCGGTTGCAATGAGTGAACTCGATGATGTGGTGCAGCGTTTGGCTGCCACGAGTGTTGAGCCAAGTGGAGTGTCTTTTCAAGGAAAGGGTCTAAAGTTGGACTCGGAAAATGACGGTAGGTTATGGACACTTCAGTGTAATACGCTGATTGCACTGTTTTCTGTCCTCCACTTATTGCGCCGTTCAATTTCGTATCAACCTGCTAGCTACTTTGCAAATGTTTTGCTTTGTTATTCCTTCCTTGGTTGTAATTCCCTTGTGTTCCTAGTCATCCTTTGTTAACCCGTTAACCCTTTTGCACCCCTATCTCTAATGTCATTTCTCTTTACATTTTGCATTTGCAGCCAAGGAAGTGGTGGACGCCATGGCCAAATGCACCGATCTTACGTTCCTCAACCTAGAAGGAAACACTCTGGGAGTAGAAGCTTCAAAGGCAATTGCCAAAGGTTTGGAAACGCACCCAGAACTGAAACGGGCATTATGGAAGGACATGTTTACTGGACGTATGAAGACCGAAATTCCCAAGGCTCTACAAGCTTTGGGACAGGGTTTAATGACTGCCCAAGCAAGACTAGTTGAACTTGATCTTAGTGACAATGCATTTGGCCCTATTGGTGTGGAAGGTTTAGCAACATTACTTCGGTCACCCCCATGCTACTCACTTCAAGAACTGCGCCTGAACAATAATGGCCTTGGGATATCTGGTGGCAAAGTATGCATCCATACTTATTAACAAGCATATTCAAATTATTTGTGCCAGCTTCAATTTTATTGAATTGTTTCAGTTGTTGGCCAAGTCTTTGCTGGATTGTCACAACAATGCTAAAGAAGCTGGTGGTAAAGGTCTTGGCCTTAGAGTGTTCATTGCTGGTAGGAATCGCTTGGAAAATGAGGGTGCAACTGCTCTTGCAAAAGTTTTTAAGGTAGCCTTGATTATTGTTCTGCATCAATTTTTGTTTAATTTAACAATGTGTGTGCCAATTAAGAACAATCTTTCATCTACTATTCTTTGTCATTGCAGGCTGTAGGAACTCTGGAGGAGGTTGCAATGCCACAAAATGGCATTTATCATGTTGGGATCACAGCTCTCAGTGAAGGATTACAACAAAACCCTAATTTGAGGCTTTTAAATTTGAATGACAATACACTTACAGCAAAAGGAGCTGCTGCTATATCCAAAGCTCTCCTATATCTCCCTGGGCTCCGGTCCCTAAACTTTGGTGACTGTCTACTAAAAACTAAAGGAGCTCAATTTATTGCTGAAGCTCTCACTGAAAAACACACACAGCTTGAGGTGCAGTATCTCCATTACGCTAAATGGAATTTTCTTCCATGAAGTGTATTTAATTTGTTTTATTTATCATAATTACCTTGATTTTAGGAAGTTTACTTAAGTTGCAATGAAATTGGATTGTTGGGAGGTCTTGCAATTGTTACTGCTCTGGCAAACAAAAAGAAATTGATGAAAGTGGACCTTGATGGTAACCAATTTGGTGATGATGGCTGTGAACAAATTCAAACTGTTCTGCTGAGTGCTGGTCACCAAGAAGGAGTACTCAGTTTGGAGTGAGTGAACTTTTTTTACATTTTTTATCATTGGATGGACTTTTATTAGTTTTCTTTGATGATTTATTCATAATCTGTGTTTCTTTTCTCAGAGATGATGAAGGTGTTGATGATGAGGAAGATGCTGATGACAATGAGGAGGAGGATGATGAAGATGAGAATGATGGAGAAGAGGAAGAGGATGAAGAGAATGATGATTCCAATGACACTGTGGAGGTTCCCCTTAATCTTCCAAATGAACAGGTTTGCTTTTTTGACCAAAATTATAAAATTTTAATTTTTGTTTTTAAAATTTCTCAGTTTTTTGTTGTTGTTGTTGTTGTTGTTGTAGTGTACTGTTCGTCAATTTTTGGAGACTCCTACAGGTGAAAGACTTGTATCTGTCACTACGGACAAACTCTTGCAGGAGGCAAAGGTATTTTACTTTCATATATTGATTTGTGGATCTTGCCCTTGTAAAATTGCCCTTTTTACCTCTTTTTGTGTTTTTACTCAGTATTTAGCGGATGAGAATTATTTGGAAAACCTATTGCCCATGTTAATGAAGGTTGCAGCTTTATCTTCACACAGTAATTCAAAGGTGCAACAGGTTGCTCTTAAAACAAGTGAAGAATTGCTTAGACATATGTACAGCTGGGCGAAAAAAGGAGATTCATTCCGTTCTGCTTTAACAAATAATGCCTTACTTGTTCATCTAGGGTTGATCAAGGTACTATCTTGATAGATACTGTGGTTGCTGTACTATACAGAGGTCTCATATGCTTGTCATGAAAAAATTATGTTATGATTTAATTTTCTTAATTTTTCCTTGCAGAGCGAAGACAAAGCCCTGAAAGTTACATGGAATCTAGATGGCTGCTTAGTAGCATTGGAGCATAGTATTAAGCAGAATGTCTTTCCTGATAGCACACTACACTTACTTCGTTTCTTCCTCGAGAGGTAAACAAATTTATTTAATTATTCATTTTGATGTGTGATATTGGTATTGAAAATTTAAAAAGCAACTTTTATATCTTTTCTGCTTATTTCTCTTCCAGGCCAAATTCTCTTGTCATTCTTCCTGTAACAAAACAGCGTATATTGGATATTCTCCCCAGAAGCATTGCATTATAGTAATTTTATGGATTGTCTACACTTTGGGTCTACATGTCTTTCTTTGTCTGAAAATTTGTTTTATTCGTGTCCAACTACCTTCCTAGCAATGAAATAATTGTAAAATAATTTATTGATCACTGATGTACTTATTTGCACTATGTCATGAAATAAATACAATGTGGTCCCTTCTTTTATGTTGTACATTTAATGTGTCTTTGTTTGGGTTATCAACAAACAAAAGAGATTTTGTATGTATTTCATTTGCAGAGAATCCTTTCTTCTTTTTTTTTCAAATGCAATAGTTGCGAAGCGGCAGTTTTCGTCAAGAAACAGTTTGAATTTCGCGCCAAATCTCTGACTTCCATAACGTTTGAAATGTCCGGTCGAGGGCGCGGGCGCGGGCCCTCGTCATGTCACGTGACCCACGCCAACCGCCATCTTGAGCGCCGCATAAACATTGAAGCCCGGCTACAAGCTATCGAGCCGTTATTAAACGATTTTGTGTTTGTATACACGAGAGTAGCTTAAACCATGGCTGATACTAAGGAAAAAGTTGTTGCAGATTCCGCAGTAGAAAATTCAAAAGAGGTAGGTGTCTGAAACTGGTCCAAGTATACATACACCCCCAAGTTCGGTGCGTCTCTGAGGAGATGATTGCAAGCCATTACGTGTGAAATCCGTTGCCTTCTGCTGCAGTTGTGTTATGGTTTTCTAATGTTAAAACATTCGGTATTTATTGAACAATTATGACCCTGCCGCAGTTCGCAAGCGTTTGCCCCTTAAGGTGGGAGGGTGTAGTGGATGGCTTTAGTGCGTCGTCCCCTATCAGTCCCCGAGGCGCGGCAGACATGTCTGACCCGGCGGAGGTTCTTGATGGAGCGGTGCAGGCGCCAAGGACTCGAAGGAGGTTAGGTGGCCGGTTACTGGTGATAGTAATGTTTATCACGGTTTTGCTCTAGCCCTGTGCATTGGAAGACCATTTCTACTTATCGAGATGCAATTCTTCTTCATTGGTTTTGGTCTAGTCGTTTATATCAAGTTGTTATTGCTTATTGAGCTGAAAACTAGTATGTTTATTCAATTTCCATGACTAATAGTTTTTTTGTTTTGTTTTTTTAATTAACCTTGCTTTGTTTCATAGTACTCTACTCTAAAAATTTTATTTTGATGAGTTTTTATCAATATTCGTAAATAACTTTTATTGTGTCAACTGCATATCTAATATGGAAACATTCAATTCTACTATGCTGACAAATTTTGTTCATGGTTTTATTTGTTGGGAATATTACATATGTTTTTTGTCTATATGTTGCAGGAAGATCCTAAAGCTGATCCAGAGGTTGAAGAAATGAATGAGAAACCTAAGCGAGGTCGCCCCTCACGAGGGAAGAAGTCCAATATAGCTAAGGTTCAAGAAGAGGCTGAAAGTATTACCAGAGGGCTTCCTGGAACAGAAGTGGAAGGACGTAGAATGACCCGTTCCTCAGTCCGAGGTGCCACAACACCTGTGACACCTTCTCCTCCCCCCAAGAGGGAAAGAAAGAGTGCTGGCGCCAGTGGTGGCGGAGGTAGAGGTAAGTGTCTTTTCTGTTTTCCTAAATTTGTGAGTCCTATTTATTTTTGACACTGTTAATTTTATCTGAAATTAAATATTGCAGGTGGTAAAAGAGGGAGACAACGAAAAATAGCAAAGGAAGAGGAAGAAGAGGAGGAGGAGGAGGAGTTGGAAGAAGGTGAAAAGAAGGCAAAGACACCTAAGAAATCAGAGGAAAACGGTGATGATAATCATGAAGAGGAAAACTCATCTAAATCTGACAAAGCAGATGAAAAGAAGGCAGAGGAGGAAAAGATGGATGTAGATGATGCAAAGGATGAAGAGGTCAAGGAAGATGCATCCAAACCTGACAAAGAGGAAGAGGTTTGTTGGT